TCGTATAAGATGAGTCGTTTTTGAAGCTATTTAAAGCACTTGTAGTCGTGTTTTATCACATATAAAACACTCCGCTACGCGTCGTGTTTTATATGTGATAAAACACTCCTACGCGTGCTTTAAATAGTACATAAAACAGCGTGTCATCATGGCTGATTTCTCACCTTGCGCATTGCCAAGAGTATGATCGCTACTTGGACCAGTGCTGAAACTTGACGTTGAACCACTTCCCAGCTGCCAATCAAAAGTGTCCGTTCCATCCTGGACCTCCAGCCACGTACAACGTCCTTTCTCAAAAGTACAATCACCTGGACGAGGACACGCACCATCCTGTAAACTGACGTCATCGACAGCAATATCCCCGAAGGGCCCACTGCCCCGGACTCCTTCGAATGAAACTCTTGTTCCTCTGAAGAAACTCAGTTGTATAGGTACCTGAAAAAATCGGGCAAAAAATTCCAGACTTGTGTTAACGGCAGGCCTGCAAATAATTATTTTACTTGGAAGGGCAAATGTCTGGCCAAGCCAAAAATTGGTCGGACATTTATCAATTTTTCTCGGACAACGGACAAAGTAAAAATTTTCATATTTTGTTTTAAATTAGCACGATTTTTTTCGCCTTGTCATGTTAGTCCGCAGTGCAATGCATCTAAAACCGAGTATATATCTACCAGTCCTAATGCATTATTAAATTATAGTTCAGGTTATACATCACTTTAATTACTACAATGTTATATATTAATTAAGTCAAAACATTACGATGTGGTTTGACGTTCGCAAGGGCTGAATACGAGATCAATGGTTTAAATATCCAGTCTATCATGAGAACAGTAAGTATGGCCGGATTTTGAGGGGAGGTGTGGGGAGGTGGGTACCTCCCCTGAGATCGTTTTGCACCTCCCCTAAGATTTTTTGCACTTCACTTGAAAAGTCATGCATCCCCCTTGGGAAAGGTTAAAAGATAGATCAAAGTGAAATTTTTATGCGTTGCTTACAGTCTACATGGATTTGAAACACACATAAATACAGTGATACATATGTGCAGCACATGCATATGTCATGTAGTTGAATCATGCATGGATAATAAAATAAATGGATAGGACTCTAGCTGACGTGATCTAATGTTTTCAATGGGCTGATGACGTGATTGGATGTTGAAACCTAGTTGCAAACCAAATTCTCAAAAACGGCATGTTTAGCAATAATACAGCTAAACATTTTAGTCAAAAAGCAAATGAATATAACTACGCCATTCTACGATGAAATCTCTAAGTATTCCCAGTCAATTTTAGCAAATATTTCAAGCACTAAACGGTGAAAAATGCATCGCAAATTTCGTTAAAATTGGCGACGCCAATTTCGTAGCTACAAATGTAAAAAAATACAAAACAAAGACGAAAAACATTTACCTTGAATACTTTGTCGTGGCTTAGGCATGTTTTTAAAACAATTAGACCAGTATATGCTTCAATATTACTCTTTTAAAGCGGAAAATATAGCGAAACAACAAAAATGCCGAGAACTTTGCAATACGCGTGACGTCACAGATTGCAACTAAGTTGTTTTTGCTTACGTCAGCTAGAGTCCTATCCATTTATTTTATTATCCATGGTTGAATTTAAGGTTACAGAACACCTTTGAGGGTTAATTTTGACTAAAAATTTTTTATTGGTTTCCATGAAAGCATTAGACTAGTTCTACTATCTGACCAAGTTTGAACGAAAAATGTTGAAAACTCGCAGAGTTATTTAATAAAATACATTTCGCTGCAATAAGAAAAACATTGAAAATGTAATATTCAAATTCAATTTTCTCCCGAAGAATTTTACGGTAATTACTGATTTTCAAACGAGTTGTGCTCCTGCGGGTTTTGACCAATTTTTCTCAAATTTCCACAGGACATAGCTAAAGACGTCAGTTTCGAAATTGTGTTCGGCTTTTTTTAAATTTTGGATATTTTAATAATAAAGAGCAATTCACTCAAACAATTCAGAAATATATTGCAGTCGTCAAAGAAATCGCCATATCAGCGGAATGACGAAATAAACAAAAAATTCCGAACACAATTTTTAGAACAACTATTTTACTGTATACAAATGATATTTTCATAAATATATCTTAAAACCAGCAGGAACATAACTCAAAAGCGTAACGGTACCGCGATTTAAGATTTTCCTGAATAATTCTTATATTATTCTATTGTTTGTTAATTTTATAACTTTACCATATTTTGCATACACTGGCGAACATTTGGTGAAAATTTGATTCAAATCGGATTAAGCTGTCGTGGTTTGTATCTGAACTACCTGAAAAACATATCTCAAACGTGGTGGTCCAATGTAGGTAGTAATCTACAGTAAGCTATCGTGGTTTGTGTCTGAACTACCTGAGAAAGATATCTCAAACGTGGGGTCCAGTGTAGATAGTAATCTACAATAAGCTGTCGTGGTTTGTATCTGAACTACCTGAAAAACATATCTCAAACGTGGTGGTCCAATGTAGGTAGTAATCTACAGTAAGCTATCGTGGTTTGTGTCTGAACTACCTGAGAAAGATATCTCAAACGTGGGGTCCAGTGTAGATAGTAATCTACAATAAGCTGTCGTGGTTTGTATCTGAACTACCTGAAAAACATATCTCAAACGTGGTGGTCCAATGTAGGTAGTAATCTACAGTAAGCTATCGTGGTTTGTGTCTGAACTACCTGAGAAAGATATCTCAAACGTGGGGTCCAGTGTAGATAGTAATCTACAATAAGCTGTCGTGGTTTGTATCTGAACTACCTGAAAAACATATCTCAAACGTGGTGGTCCAATGTAGGTAGTAATCTACAGTAAGCTATCGTGGTTTGTGTCTGAACTACCTGAGAAAGATATCTCAAACGTGGGGTCCAGTGTAGATAGTAATCTACAATAAGCTGTCGTGGTTTGTATCTGAACTACCTGAAAAACATATCTCAAACGTGGTGGTCCAATGTAGGTAGTAATCTACAGTAAGCTATCGTGGTTTGTGTCTGAACTACCTGAGAAAGATATCTCAAACGTGCAGGTTCAGTGTAGGTAGTATTCTACAATAAGCTGTCGTGGTACGTGTCTGAACTACCTGAAAAAGATATCTCAAACGTGGTGGTCCAGTATAGATAGTATTCTACAATAAGCTGTCGTGGTTGTGTCTGAACCCAAAAATACGGTATCTCAACGTGGGTGTCCAGTGTAGAATGTTTTCTGCAATAAACTGTCATAGGTTTCTATATAAACTTAAAACTACCAAAACAATGTTAACTTAAACTGGATAGCCCTGTCAGTTTCAAACTATTCCTCCTAGAAGTGCAATAAAGCTACAATAAAGATCACGCACCCAATGCTGTTCCGTATGTGTGATCGTATTTTGGTCCAGTAAAAAGACTCGGTGTTCCGTCCCTTGATCGTGTCCATTTCATTCCACTTTTTGTCGAGGGTGTCACTGTATACCGACATATTCCTGGCGCTTCGAAACCACAGGAAGCTACAGGAAAACGCATTAAGAAAATGACGATCAATATGACTCCATCACTCCAGTCTGCTTAATCTCTGACAAAGACTTTTCCTTAAAATGTTTGCTGAAAAATCTTATCCATTTATTTGTAACAGCTTGACAAGCGATTTCTCATGGTCATAATGGTGGTGGTAGTGATGGTGATGGTGGTGATGGTGGTGATGATGGTGATGATGGTGGTGGTGATGATGATGATAATGGTGGTGGTGATGATGATGATAATGGTGGTGATGATAATGATAATGGTGGCGACGATGATGGTGGCGACGATGATGATGGTGATGATGATGGTGATGATGATGGTGAAGATGATGATGGTGATAATGGTGATGATGGTCATGGTGATGATGCCATGATGGTCATGGTGGTGAGGGTGATGATGATAACGGTACCTGTTCATTGAAGTTATTAGTCCAGCTATATATATATATATGGCACGGTGACTTACCAGCAGATGGGCAACTGCCTTCTTTCAAGTCAATGTCATCGATTGCAATATCTCCATCATACTGAGAGCCATTCCTTGCTTCAAATATAATCTACCAAGAAATACGTCAATCCAAGAAATACGTCAGAGTTACGGACACCACTTACGGTCTACTGCTGTAACCTGGGGAGGGGAGGGGAGCACTTTGCCCAGGGGTTCTTGTGTTGTTATTTCATCCTGTTTTCAAGAGAAATCTTTTATCTGTACCAACACAAATTTACATCAAAATATACTCACGTTAATCGGTTCCGTGATTTCGAGTTGAACATCTGCCAAAATCCAGCGATCTCCTTGAGTCCCTCTGCGATTCCAAACACTCCTTCGGTTCCTTGTGCTTGTCGACCTCGCGTAAACATCCAGATAGTTGACAGACGCACCATGCATATGATAAGCAAACTCCAGACATTTCAAAACTTTGGTACCATTGAATGTTATGGCAGGACTCGTCAATGTTGCGCGACTGCTTGGATAGCCACGAGTGTTGACGAAGATGTACGAACCAGACGCTAAAGAAAAAGAAAGGTACTTCATATATACTGCTTGCTATACAAAACTTTGATTTCTACATTTTACACTGACTTCTTTTCAATTTGCATCATGAATTATTTATGATCAAAATTTTTATTTTCTGAAACGAAAATGCTCTTAAAACTGTATAATAACTTGTTTTGACGATTTTTGTTCTCATGCTTAGTTCTTGAGATATTTCATTTTGTTTGTAACCATGTGACGTCATCTACTCAATTACATATATAATGAGATATCAGTAATTGTTGTGTATCTATGCTATTTTTATCAATTAATTTAACCTGCATCATTAAGCATACTGTATTTTTTAACAAATCGATCAAAAATAGCAAACATACACAACAATTACTGATATCTCATTATATATGTAATTGAGTAGATGACGTCACATGGTTACAAAGAACAAAATGAAATATCTCAAGAACGTACATACGTCGTCTTCTAATAATCCGCGTACATATGGCAAGCATCACTTCCGGTAAAATGGCGGACTGTGATTGGGTGAGAATACCGAGAAGCACTTTCAGCGGCATTATTTATGCATTTTAAAACAAAACAGCAAAACTAATTGAAAATTTGAACATTGTAATTTAATTTGTTATTGATAAGATATCTGCGAATGGTTTTTAGTGGAAAAGAAGGAATACATTGGTATTTTTTTGTTTTCTTTGACAAAATGTGTACCACGCTACTAATATGCATTTCAAATCATGCATTTCTTGTTTGTATTTTTCAAATATAAATGCCTTAGTAGTGTAGGCAGCATTATTTCAGTGACACCACAAAGGCTAATCTCTCTTTTGCACTGCATATACAATATTACCTTTGCCAATGGTGTGATCAATTTTAGTTCCAAATTTAGATTGTACAGCTTGAAGTCCACTTTGTCTTTTCCATTTGTAAGAACTGAACGTAAATCCAGGCCTCCAGTTACAATTACTAAACTCAAAGTTGCATCCGAAAGGTTTGGCGTCTGCGGGGATAATCGCACATTGTACGGAGGATGTTGAGAATGTGATGTCATCAATGGCAATATCACCTTGGTAACTGTATCCACTTGTACCTTCAAACACAATCTGAAAATAACGAGAAACAGTTCAGTTTCAAGATTGGAAAGAGTGTCGAAAAACAAAACTGATCGAGCTATCCAGTATAAATAAAGTTAGTTTAGTTTAGGTTTCCTCCTGTAGTAACACTGGATCAATAAGAGATGATCCTTACTGGACCTCTAGGAAGAACAGTTTAGAACTAATAGAGCTATCCAGTATAAATAAAGTTAGTTTAGTTTAGGTTTCCTTCTGTAGTAACACTGGATCAATATGTGATGATCCTTACTGGACCTCTAGGAAGAACAGTTTAGAACTGATAGAACTATCCAGTATAAATAAAGTTAGTTTAGTTTAGGTTTCCTCCTGTAGTAGCACTGGATCAATAAGAGATGATCCTTACTGGACCTCTAGGAAGAACAGTTTAGAACTGATAGAGCTATCCAGTCTAAATAAAGTTAGTTTAGTTTAGGTTTCCTCCTGTAGTAACACTGGATCAATAAGAGATAATCATTACTGGACAGTCATCACATCATTACGATACTTGATCATCATTCTCCCTGCGAGACACATCTACTGTAAAAGAATTGATTCCAACTTACTACAAAAGGCTTAGCACTCTTGATTGGTATTTGACCTTGTATCCAATTAACACCCCTGTTACCACCATATGTCCACACTCTAGATTCCGATTGTTCAATAACTTTCAGCAAAATTGATAACTTATTTATGTGCAAACCATTCATGTTAAACCAAAATTGCATGCACTGTCCAGTTGTCGGCGGTAAGACCTCGGATTCAAGTCGGGCCTTTTCGCCCCATTGTCGGGGCCACGAGCTTTCAATGTACATGAAGTGGCCTTTCCTGGTTCCGGTTGAGTGGTCGGCCGAGGGTCCAGTTCCTGCAGAAGCGGTTTTAGTAGCTCTTATCCAATCAAAGTTGTCATTGATGTTATCAGTTTTGGCATTAATCCAGGTGCATTCACCTTTTTCAAAGTCACAGTCACCTGGTTTTGCGCACGCGCCGTTTGATATTAGAACGTCGTCGATCGCTATGTCACTTGTGAAGCTTGTGCCGACACTGGCTTCAAACATTATCTAAACGGGTGGAATTAAAATTATAATTGTTTGCTAGGGTAATATTATGTTGGCGATTGTCGTAGTGTTGAGGGTGATGGTGGTCACGATGATGGTACAGGTGATGATGGTCATTATGTTGGTGCTGATTATGTTCGTGATGGTGCTGCTGATTATGACGATAGTGATCAACCGTGATTATTTATGGGATGATGATGATGATGGTGAGGAGGATGATGATGGTGATGGTGATGATGATGATGATGGTGATAGTGATGATGGTAATCATGAAGGTGGTAACGATGGTAGTCGTGCTGATTGTGTTGGTGACGTTGGTTGTGATAGTATTTGATGGAATAGATGAATTACCTTGAGCGGCACAAGTTGGATCCTCTTTGAATAATGGTCATGATAGTGGTATTAGTTATGGTGATGATGGTGATAATGATGTTGACGTTAATAATGAATATAATCAATGGCATAATAACAAAACACGAAATAAAATCAACAAGAAGAACAACAGTATAAAAACACCGTACCTTAAACTGCGACGCACTCTTCACAGTAACTTCACCAACTCTCCAAGCATTCCCAAGATTCCCAGTCATGGTCCATACAGGGTTACCGCGGTTATTACCAACTTTAACCAACACATTCAGTCGACCAATAGCGTTTCCTAACATATGGTACCAGAAGCGTAGACATTTCCCAGCTGTTGGTTTGAAAAGCGGACTTTCTAACCACGCTTTGTGTCCTTTCGTACGAGGCGACGACGCTTCAATATACATGTAATAACCTTGAAAACAACATATTTATTTATTTCCCAATGTACAAATTTTATAGAAAGACAGTAGATTTCTATTAATGTTGGGCTAGGAACCTACCAGAAACCTTTACAGGCTTTTTATTTAGGCCCCTAGTTTTGTTCATATTATGAAAATTAATCAATATATTTACAGACATTGGTTGACTTTGTAAAGTATATAGAACTATTTACAAATTAACGAAGGAAATGTGATGTGCAAAACAGGACTACAGTAGCTATGAAGACATGCATCAGGATGGTTAGATTTGTTTAGCGATATGGTCCGTTCGCAGAAACTGGAATTAGCTGGGGAGAATGGTATAAAAACTGTTTACGACCCTCGTAGATCAAGGTCGGATTTTGGTGGAAATAGTGGGGGAGGTAGAAAAACATTTAGGGGAGGTGCAGCGGTCTAGCTCACGACCCCCATGGAAAGTTAGGGCTTAGAACGGGCCAAAGTCAACGACGTGATGTGTGCATGTAGTGTACATACGTACACCACATGCAGTGTGTTAATGAATTATGACTGTACAACTCATCCACTTTTGCCCTTCATTACAATTACTACAAAGTTTCTTTCAAAATATTGCATTAAAAGGGTACTTGACACAGAGATGAATGGCTATCACTGTTTCAATTTTACAGAATAACTTTCTTACGAAGTGTAGACCCTAAGCAGCCAAAAAATGTCAAATTTTCTCTTTGATCTATCATTGAAACTTCCCAAAGGGGAGGTGCATGACTTTTCAGGGGAGGTGCAAAAATTCTCAGGGGAGGTGCAAAACGATCTCAGGGGAGGTGCAAAACGATCTCAGGGGAAGTGCAAAACGATCTCAGGGGAGGTGCGCACCTCCCCTCAAAATCCGACCATGTCGTAGATATTTGACGTCAATTTCCGCCATCTAGGCTTCATTTTTCTCATGGGCCGAATGACTGAACTTCTCGCTCCAAAATATATAAAAGTCCACTGGTTTAACATACACATACTTGTAGGATTACAGTATCCCTCACCTTGATTTGTGCCATACGTGTGATCATTGCTGGGACCAGTTCCTGAGCTACCAGTTCTTCCACTTGATCTTGTCCAATCAAAGTTATCTCCAGCGATATTTCTCCAACCACACATGCTGGGATCGTCAAATGTACAAAGGGCCTGAGGAGGACATTGACCATCTTGGACGCTGACATCGTCCAGGGCCATGTCACCTTTGTAACTCTTGCCTCGGACGCCTTCGAATACGATCTGAAAATAAGGAAAATTCCGATAATTTTAGATAGATTTAAATCACTTATCCAGGTATTCTAGATTTTTCCTTAGTAACACGTGAGTAAATAATATAGAGTTTAAGCTTCGTGTTATATGGCAAACGGCAAATGCCAGGCAAAGAAAAATTTTACGGTATCAGGCAATGAGTAAATGAACTTGCTGTTGTAAAACTGAAATACATAATTATTCTTTCGACGCAAGAAAGAAAATATGAAACGAAAACGTTCAACGAAAATTTTGCCAAGAAAGTTCGAACCTGCCATTTGCCGTTCCTGTAAACGTGAAGCTTAAACTCCATAATGCTTTTACTAGACCGCTAGGGAGAGCTATCCAGTATAAATAAAGTTAGTTTAGTTTAGGTTTCCTCCTGTACTAACACTGGATCAATAAGAGATGATCCTTACTGGACCTCTAGAAAGAACAGTTTAGAACTGATAGTGTTATCCAGTATAAATAAAGTTAGTTTAGTTTAGGCTCCCTCCTGTAGTAACACTGGATCAATAAGAGATGATCCTTACTGGACCTCTAGAAAAAACAGTTTAGAACTGATAGTGTTATCCAGTATAAATAAAGTTAGTTTAGTTTAGGCTCCCTCCTGTAGTAACACTGGATCAATAAGAGATGATGAGAGAACAGTTTAGAACTGATAGAGCTATCCAGTATAAATAAAGTTAGTTT